TCATTCACTTCAAATAGACTCGCTTGGTGTTATGAGCTAAGCTACTGAATTAGTGTAGAGTACAGATATAATAGTAAAAGCTTTCTTAATTCAACGACATTTAAAAACAAACAATTAAGAAATAAATCTATATTACATTGTTATCCTTTACTATAATCAAAAACACACTTACATTCAAATTAAAGAAATCAGAGTCGGTGCCAGATTGGCGATATGCGATAGGGAGATTGGGCCATGCCTGCCACACGGCACCTGTATCGGTGGTTGTCTATGATATTTTATAGTTATAGATATAAGTCGCGGCACGAAACTCTAGCGCTGACCGTTATTGCGAAGAAAAAATAAGATGTCTTAGGGGGAAACGAGGTGCGCGGGTGGGCGTGCGTTGCGCCGATTGTCTCTCCAGTCGTACCCATGCGCAGCTAGAGGCGGCCTTACCGATTGCGAGGCTCCGGGCGGCAGGTCTTTGCGAGGCCCTTTGTCCTTCGTGAAAAGTATGTGATGCGAAAGTAGGTCTGGTTGTTTGGTTTAGGTATTTGTCATGTTTAAGGAAAAATGCTTAAATTATACAAATAAATCAAATTTGAATTTTAAAATATTTTACATTGAAAGATTCACAAAATTAACAAATACAGAGATGATAAATTTTAAAATTGATGTTTGCGGCTTTTCCTGAGACTAAAATCTTTAATTAAAGCACAATAATCTAACGAATAAGCTACGTCATTTTCGATTGAAAGAATAGCGAGGGCTGAAAGCCGATCTTGTGTCATTGAAAAAATAGTATTTTTTTTTATATTTTTAAAATTTGCTTGGGTTGTTGCGCGAGGCCCCTGTAGGAGCGAGGCCCCGGTCGATTGCCCTGTTCGCCACCCCCTAGACCGCCACTGTGCGCAGCTATCCCCCCAGCGTTTTGTTCAGCGCTAGAGTTACGTGCCGCGACCTGTATGTAGCGCAGTCGGGCACGCTCTCGAGCCGCGGCTACACTTCGCTGCAACGTGTAAATATTAGGTGTCGCCGCACACGGGCTACACGCCACAGCCACAAACGCCGCCACGAGAAGTTAGAAGTGGCTACTAAAGTGCCTGAAGTGCGCGACAGCGGCCGACTAAGGTAAGGGAGAGAGGGGTGGGGAATCGCGCGAGTGAAGGACGTGTGGCGGCGTTTTGTATCGGCGCATTAAATGGCCGGTGCGGGCCACAAGAAGCGAGCAACGAGGATTTGTAGCGTGTGGCGGCCAACGGCGTACCGTGTGTGGCGAGTCCATATAAAATGTATGAAAACTGCAAGAAATATGCCGGTGGCGGCATTTTGTGGTTGTGGTCGGTGGCCCATGTGCGGCGACACTTAACGTTATTCCAGACAAAAGCCCAATGCTTGTTCTTAGATAGAATAGTACACAAATTACACGGGAACTATTATAAGAAAAAGGTGTCATTTCATTTGTACGATTACTTATTTTGACAGTTGCTGACACCGTTGAAACGTGAAGGCCAAAGAGCGAGATGTAATCTGCATTATGCATGACGTGACTTCCGAAGCACGGAGGACCTCCTGATAATGAATTTTTGGTCCAATGACCGACCATTGCGAAAATTACTTAACTTCCACGATTGCAGGCCGAACGCACTAACCCAGGTGGTGGCCATCATGTGCGTGTGGACTGAGTGATCTTTTCATAAAACTTATCCAATCACAACCAAATTATAAGAGGATTTAGGAAATAATTGTGAAAACTTATTGGTAAAGTATAAAATTTGTGAAACCTAAACAAAGAAAGTTAGAACTAAATTACTGGATCACTCAATCTGGACACCTGAAGAATAAGCCATAACGCGTATCCAAGAATATACTACCTATGTGTTCATAATTTGTATTTGAAATAATTGTGAAGAATTTGTGAAAGCTGCTAAACAAATTTTCGATTCATTTCAAAGCCACGTTTGAGCTTCTCGATAGTAGAACAGCCCGCCGTAACTGCAGACAGGGGACGTAACTAAGTGTCCAGTAATTAGACTTTATTGTCCCGGATTCCGATAATGTGCTAGTTTCGTAACAAAATAAACTAATAACGAATGATACCGCTGGTCCGCTTGATGTTTTAATTCTAGGGGGGTGATGGGGGTTTGATTTGATGCTATAGTTCTTCAGGGGGGGGGGGGGGGATGTCCCGGAATTGATAAGTCAGCATCTGGCAACCCAAGACGTAACGTCCGTAGAAGTGAGAGGAGCTTCGGAAGCCGCATTGTAGCTGCGTTTAACTCACAGAGGTTCAAGCTAGAATATTGATAGCTCCGTAAACGTATCGCATCGTAAAAGTTTATATATGTAAACTAAGCAACACCCTCTATCGGACGTTAGTACAAACTGGCTCCTTCCATACAAAATTTGGCAATGACGATACGATTACGGAGCTGTCAAAGTTCGTACTCGAGCCTCTGGGGGCCATTGGCCTAACGGGATTGCTTTGGAAAACGCTATTGCTTACGATTTCATTTTGTAATTTCTAGCCGCCTGAGGTTTTGAAATACCTCGCGCTCTTTTTTTTTCTTTTGCATTGGTAATAACAATATTAAAAAAAGAGTGTGAGGTATTTGAAAACCTTTGGCGCCGCGGCGGTCAGAAATAACAAAATGAAATCGTAAGCGATAGCGTTTTCCACAGCAATCCCGTTAGACGAATGGCCCCCTCGTCGAATGGCTAAGATCCCGCAACACGGCTTACAGGTAACGGTTTGAAACCCAGCACCAATAACACTTACATGTAAAGACGTCTAGATAATAATATGTTATAACCATGATTAACCAACCATCTCACTCGTGACACGCTCAAGGGGAGACGGAAAATAACTAAATCATCCCTAGCGGAACCAGGAATTGAAAATTTTAATAATTGTAATAGGGATGATGACTATTTTTTTTTCTTCGTTTATCAGGTAGGTTATCAAAAAGTATTGGACACGTATTTTTTCTTTTTTCACATAATATAAACATTGCAGAGATATATTGATTTGAAAAGTCGCATGACGTCACGAGCCCCTACTCCCAAACTTTGACGCGCTATAACTTTGTCATTTTTTGGTTGATTGCCCAAAGAAAAAATACGTGTCCATTATTTTTTGACCATCTAACTGACGGACTAAATAGAATTTCGTTTACTGTACCCCGTCATCACCCCTATTGTGTATTTAAACTACAATTGTGATTTCAATTCAATATGTACCTACTTTAAATAAATAAATATTTATGTCTTTATTTATTTCTAAGTATTTAAGTGCTAGATGTTTAAATCTAAAGAAAAGTTTACTAGAAAAAAAAAATCCACGCGGACCAGGCAGCGGACGGGACTCGAACCCGCACCCTTCGCAATCCGGGCGAATGCACTGACCATTATGCTACCACGGCCATATTCGCCGCGTCGAAATTTTCCTAGCCTTAAGCTGCAAGGCAGCGCCATCTCTTCGCATTGTAGGTAACCCACAATGTCAAATGAATATTTTTTCAAGTATTAAACATTTGAAAGAAGAAATAGCAATTATAGTTATGTTTTTATTTATTTTTAAGCATTTAACTGTTGTTTAAATCTAAAGAAAAGTTTACTAGAAAAAAATATTTCCAACACTCACCAAGTTTGTGACTGTGTTTGATGTTTGATACTTCTTCACGTATAAACGGCTGGAGCGATTTTAATAAAATAAATAAATTTGGAGTTAGCTAACACCCTGGATTAACACATAGGCTACGTTTTACTGCGGGAAAATATCCCTAATAAACCTCAGGTAACAACACCACGGGGCACAGCAAGTCAGAAATAAAACGATTGGACAGTATTGTCATTTTTATTGATACCCTGTTAATAGTGAAACATCGAAAAAGAGATAATCTGCTACATAAATTCTTTTGCTATAATATACACGCTACAAAACAATATTTCCGCCAAAAAATCACGAGAATTGAAACAAAAACGTTTATAGAAGAAAGCGTATAACATAAACAACTTTACACGAGACGTGAATACAATTTTTATAATAACCCAAGTACCTTGGAGATCATATAGAAAGGGATCATAGCCAAAGGCGGAATTTTACATAATAATGACGTACTTGTACGACAGAGGATAAGATGCTGGTCCCATATGTAAGGCGAGATATTCAAAGCTATAAATATTATTGCATCATAGTTAAATTACTATTGTTACAGTTTACTTTGTTGAAATTGGGTCATTACACACATGTACAGTACCCTAGGCACGAACCAATATCGTATTCGAATAGTTTGCGAGTCCGAAATGTTTTTGTCAAATTTTGTATGAAAACTTGAACAGCAGCGCCATTTATTTTAATTTATTAATTAAAAATCAGTACACATTTGACTGTGACATTTCGGACTCGGAACTATGCGAGTCCGAAATGTTTTTGTCAAATTTTGTATGAAAACTTGAACAGCAGCGCCATTTATTTTAATTTATTAATTAGAAATCAGTACACATTTGACTGTGACATTTCGGACTCGGAACTATTCGAATTCGATATTGATTCGTGCTAGGGGTACAGAACGTTATCTGCTATGTATTATAGCATATTAACATCAACTTAAAAGAGATTTCTTACAATTTAATACATTTTAAGAAAATACTACCTTATTAATTACATAATCAATACACTTTGTTTTGGAAATTCAAAAGCTAATATTTAATATCAACTATGGAAATTTTATGATGACCAGAAAAGCTATTTTTCTTTATCAAATCTATACTTTTACTATGTCTTACTTTTACATGATTGGATGTCAAAATTTGTGTACGTCATCGTACAGAAATATTCTAAACATTTTTAAAATTAGCTTTTAATATTTGGTTAAGCTTCGAGCGATGAAATTATCGCGACTATCGCTCGTCGCTCGCTCCTCACACGTAGGCCATTGCGTAAATCCCAAAAATGCGGAAACAAGGTTTTCCTTTACAACCCGAAAAAAGGTATTCAACGGCCAAAGGGGGACACCTCAAGCAAGTTTACTGACATTGTAGTTAAGAGAAGAGAATATTATGCGACTGGGTATTCTATCTTTGTAGTTATCGTACACCATAATGTGTCCGAATGGCAGTTCTTCGTTGAACGAAGGTTCTCTTCCTGGTGATACCTGAATGGATTTGTCGACTCTTGAACGGTTTTTAGGTTCCTGTGATGAGAACAAACATACAATTAAAGAAAATTTTAACAAAAAAATAAAAGAAATTTGATCATCATCATCAGCCTATTAATGTTCCCACTGCTGGCGCATAGGCCTTCCCTACCGATGGAATAGGGAGATTGGGCCATTACCCACCACGCGGGCTCAGTGCGGATTTGCGGCGCTAACGACTGCAGATGTAGCCGGGATCAACGGCTTAACGTGCCTTCAGAAGTACGGAGGAACTCGAAATAGAAGATTTTTGATCACCCATCCAATGACCGACCACTGCGAAAGTTGCTTAACTTCAACGATCGCAGCCGAATGCGCTAACTACCCGCGCCATCGAGCTCCGCCGAGTCTCCGGGTACTATAGGTAATTGGTAAGTGCGTGTTTTGCTTTCGACATTGAAAGTGTCTGGCAATAAATACTGTTGACAGAATGAATCTGGTAGTATTAATTTCAATTTGTTGACAATATTCTCCACAACATACGTAAGAATCAGTCCTCGGACTGTAAGTAAAGTCATCAACAGTCTGTCTTAGTCCACTGCTGGACATAAGCCTCTCCAATTGCTGCACGCCACTGAGATCGATCTTGGGCTGGGGGTAAAGGGTTCTAAATACACCTGCTAGAACCCAAGTCAATCTCACCTTCACGTGGTGCAGCACCCAGTTGACCAACAGACGAAGTTCTGTTAAACCGACTGATGGCGGTATAACCATCCAACGACGTAGGGGAGGGAAATCTCACTGGTGACGGGCAGCAGCGTCATCAGTGAATTAACCTACGTTCTGCGATCGCCAACCCGCCTGCTCAGCGTGGCGATTATGGTTAATACCTTTAATTTAAGTAAAGTGAATGAGAAAAAAAATTACGAACCTGTGGCAACTGATACCTTAGAATTAGCCTTTAGTACAAGTTATTGAGTATGTATAAGTTCATTCTACACACTAATCGTTCATCATCATCATCAGCCTATTAATGTCCCCACTGCTGGGGCACAGGCTTCCCTATGGATGGAATAGGGAGATTGGACCATGACCCACCACGCGGGCCCAGTGCGGGTTGGTGGGTGCTAACGACTGCAGATGCAGCCGGGACCAACGGCTTAACGTGCCTTCCGAAGCACGGAGGAGCTCGAGATAGTAAATTATGGTCACCCATCCAATGACCGACCACTGCGAAAGTTGCTTAAATTCAACGATCGCTGCGGAACGCGCTATCCACTTGCGCCATCGAGCTCCTCAACTACACACTAATACTAGTCGATTATTCATATTTTGTCCATCGGAAAACAAGTAATGTCTGGCGCGTCTTGGACCTTACTTTTAAAGATATAGAAGATGCTTCCTATCTTTGAATGAAGTTGCAAATTTTGACGTGATAACGTTTTATTAATCGATGTACCCCGGCTGCACGCACGAAAAAGTGTCACGTTCCGCCTGACCTTGAGCGTGCAAGCGAGAGCGCGGAACAAGCGATAGAGAGCCACGATCGACCCAAGCCGAGGCTTGTACACATTTATCTCTCTTGTCGCGTGACGTCAGAGCTAGCAATAGGGTATTTGACAAGTTTTAGAAAACGATCTCACGTTATTTAATAATGTTTATAGAGTCCATAAAAAGTAGATATTCATCATTATGTTGTGTATTACGGTGAGTAAGTAAAAAAACCAAATCAAAAAAGAGTTTTTGCAACGCGGCAACTTAAAAATAGAGAACTTTCAAGTTGCCGCGAAAAACGTATCTCTGGACAATATGGCGCCTCACTGGTGTGTGACGTCACACGACTGTCATAAAAACGTCAAACCATAACCAATCAAATGACACTTTAACCGGAAGTTTACTTGCGTGTGACGTCATTTTAGGCTCCACCAATCCCAAGCGTTTTGGGTCACGTGACAATAGACAAGAAAACTATTATCTTTATCGTGGGTTTTTAGTAAAATTATGAATATTTTTTCTGTAAAACTAGTAAAAACTCCTGCCAATATTCATTCTCAGTACAGATCCTAACAATTGGCACTTTATTTTTAATACTGTCAAACACCCTATTATGCAATTTTTATTAATGTTTCTTTATGACGTTATCACGTAAAACTGTCATCCGTAAACTGAATTTACAGACAACCAATTTTTTACTTCGGCGACTTTCTTTACTAATAATAAAAGTGACGTCACCTGTCTGTTACTAGGATTCTCACAGCTGCCGCTGCGTTTGTCGCTGGCATCGTGTGTAGTAATCGTATCTTCGTCAGTTTGCTTATCATGTGCGCTTTCGGAAACTTCTTGAGTGCTTTCAGTGAATGTGCTTGAGATAGCTGGACATTTAAAGTAAAATAATAATAAACAGGTATTCAAATAGGTATAAAACAATCTGTATTTAATATGAATATTAGCAGTGATTTACTATTCTAAAAGAACAAATAATTAATAACTTTTGTGTAAAACCATTAAATAGAAATGATTTTTTTGCTCCATGGTCGCGTGACTGAAAGCGCCTGGGATTGCCTAAAACTAAAATGACGTCACACACTAGTAAAGTTCCGCCCAAAGTGACATTATATTGTATCGTTTGACGTTTTAATGACAGTCGTGTGAAGTCACACAATAGTGAGACGCCATAATGCCCAGAGCTTGGATTAAAACAAAAAGGGAAGATACGGTACGCTCATACTAGCCACTAGCATCAAATAAAATATGATCCGTCTTAACTGCATAAGCAACACTCTCAAAGGCACACGTCTGTGAATAACATTCAATCATGCGAGCGGGACGCTTCAACGCAGAGCGAGCGAAACGGCGAATCAGCTTCCAAGCGCGAACGGCTGAGCTGTATTGTTGTCCTTTTCGTGATAGCAAAATGGCGATTATGTAAATAACATTCATGACAAACCGTGATTTTTGAGGAAAAAGTTTTTAAAGTTTTACGAATGAAAAGTGGGAGTGTTTCAAGATCTAATGAAATGTGCTAAAGTTATCCCTCTGTTTAAGTCTGGTGACAAATCAGATCCCAGAAATTTTAGGCCTATATCTATATTACCAGCGCTAAGTAAAGTATTTGAGAAAATAATTTACAACCAACTACTAGCACACTTTTCTATAAATAAGCTATTTCATTTATTACAGTTTGGTTTTACTAGAGGCAAAAGTACTACTGATGCTGGAACTGCACATCTGAAACACATTTTTGATGTATGGGAGAGTAAGCACGATGCTATTGGCATTTTTTGTGACTTATCAAAGGCGTTTGACTGCGTTAGCCATGAAATATTGTTAAATAAAATGAAGCATTATGGTGTATCAAATATTTCACTAAGTCTGATATAATCTTATTTTTCTGCTAAGATTCAGAAAGTAAAAAAATAAATGAAGCTGAGTCTACAGAAGCCACCCATTTCTATGGGCGTGCCCCAGGGTTCAATATTGGGCCCATTGCTTTTCCTTATTTATATGAATGACCTTCCTCACTTTACAAGAGATTTGTGTGAGACAGTGCTATTTGCTGATGACACACACCTCTTTAGTGTTTAAAGTTAGAAGAGGAAATGATTGTTATGACGAAGTAAATTGTGCTCTCTCTGAAGTTCTTTGTTGGTTTACGATAAATAATTTAAAACTTCACTAAAGTAAAACAAAATTTGTTAGGTTTACTCTACCTAATGTGAGGCAGGTTAATATAAAAATAAATGACCAGCTTGTAGAGTTAGTGTATTCTACAATGTTTCTGGGTATTACTTTAGACTCTCGTCTGCAATGAGATCCTCATATTAATGCCTTATCAAAAAGACTGAGCTCTACAGGTTTCGCTGTTAAACAAATAAGACTCTTAACTGATGTAGAAACGGTAAGATTGGTTTACTTTGGTTACTTTCATAGTTTATGTCATATGGCCTTTTGTTGTGGGACTCAGCTGCTAATATCGAAAGTATTTTCATACTGCAAAAGAGAGCTGTTCGCGCCATATACTATTTAAAGGCAAGAGAATCCCTTTGAGAAAAAATTAAAGAAATTAATATTTTAACAATGGCATCGCAATACATTTATAAAATTTTAATATATGTAAGAAAAAACTATGATACATTTGCAAAACAAAATTCAGAACCATAAGTAACTTTAACACAAGATTTAAGAACAAGCTTGCCGTTCCATGTTTGAGACTCCAAAAATCAATAGGTTCATTTCTGGGTTGTAGTATTGCATTGTTTAATAAAGTTCCCCAAGACCTGATTGAGCTTTCACTGACTAAATTCTCAGATCAAGAATACTCTTATAAATAAGGGCTATTTTAAAGTTGATGATTATCTAGATGATCGTAATGCATGGACATAGTGTTTCTTGTAATTTGTTATTTGATGGGTAGTAGTCATTTTTCATAACAGTAACATAGTACCTATGTAATGCCGCTTCCTACTAAATATAAAGTTAACTATAAAATTTATTGTAACTATATGTTTATATTCTAAATGATGTAATGGAAAGTGACTTCAGACGTATCTCTGAAGTTATTTTTCAACTTGACGACTCTGTATAACAATACAGGGAGAAAAAAAACAGCCCTTGCTGAGTTTCAGTGAGTGAGTACATATATTCACAATAAAAACGGTGTTACTCACCATCATGGAATCTGTCCATCCATCCGGAAGAGTTTCGACGCATCCTCTTACGAAATATCAATTCATAGTCTAATTGAGTTACATCTGAAAAATAAGTACGTAGCCATTTAACAAACCTTTTTTCTCAGCGTTCACTTTTTTATCTAATTCTCGCTTACATGTCAATCTATCCGGTCAAAAAGGGGGTTCAGCATAGGTGTTTTTTTATGCTTTATAGGCAAGGCGCTTGACCACAATCTCGCCTGATGGAAAGTGATGATAAGGCCTAGGATGGTACACGCCTGCCTAAAAGATGCCTGTTCACTCTGGCTTTGAAGATTACATTGGTCCGAGAAAACAGACCTACGGGGCTATTCTGTAAAATTTTCACGCGCGGTTCCGATGCGTATTTTTGCTGAGTGACATTTGCCGTATAATGGCGTAATGCATATAAAACTAATGTCAAAAATTTCAGATACCGAAATCGGAAGTGCGAATTAATTTTACAAATTCGCCCTACAGATTATGAACATGTTATTTGACTTTTGTTATAATTCTACACTATATTTTTTTTAATATAAAATATTGCAAATTAAATACTGTATAACATTCAATATAAGATTATTACATAATATGGACTCAGGCACACGGTGCATCCAGGCATTAAAAAAACTAATATAATATATTTACAGACATGTTACACAAATGTGTATGAACAATGTTAGATCACGAGGAAGGTACCACAGAAGTAATAGAAAATGTTATGTAATATGGGCGCGCACAAGTTCTCTTTTAGGCAACACCAATATCGTATAAAATGTTTTATTATATAAGATACTAGCTGTCCCAGCGAACTTCGTACCGCCATAAAAAATAGGGCTTGGTGGTAGAAGGGTGAAAATTTAGGGTTATTTTACTAATCCTGTATCATAAAAAAATTAAAAAAAAAATGGGTGCGTGTACTTATGTAGGCGCGTGAGAAGTTATCCTTCTTTGGCATCGTTTAAAATTAGTTTTTAATTGCATGCAAATAATTAATTACAATAAATTAATAAAAAGTCTGGAAAAGGACACAGTCAATAAAGTTCAGTTTTAATTTGAAAAAATAAATAAATAATCAAAATATTCAATTAAAATCGCTACTGAATATAATTTATTAGAACATATTATATGTGATTTGCACTTGTATGAAACTCAAACACGTATTCCGAATATACAAACTAGAAACATGTGGATAAATATTATAAATATGAATACCTATAACTGTTACTTTATTACAAAAAATAAAATGTGGTTTTTGGTTCTACTACACCAATGGTCAAGAGATGGCGCTGTAGTCTCCTGAATCGCGCTTTGGTTCCGTTGTTCCAGATTAATAAATACTTTTGATAGGCCTTCACAATGCAGTCGTTAGCACCCACTAAATAGAGATTCTATTTCTATTTTGTTTGTAGATTTTCTTTATGTGCGGTAAACACAAAAGTAACAGCATGAAGTTGGTGCTGTTAAAATTTTGTGTTACAGTGATGCGCGCGCATCTTAAAATTTCACTCTCATCATTTTTTCATAACGCGCCTAAAGAAGTATAACTTCAATATATAAAATTGAAAAAAAAAATTAGGGGTGGATTACCCTTAACATTTAGGGGGATGAAAAATAGATTACATCCGATTCTCAGACCTACTGAATATGCATATAAAACTTCACGAGAATCGGTCAAGCTGTTTCGGAGGAGTTTAACCACAAACACCGCGACACGAGAATTTTATATATTACATTGGTATAATATATTATAAATATCGTAACTTTTATTACAATTTACATGCAAAAACTATGATATGTAACATAATTTTATAATTTTTACAAAAAAAAAGTGGAGGAACCCTTTATCTTAGGAACGCGTGGAGGTTAAGATAAAGGGTTTTTTCATGAAAAACTTTGGTTCTGACAAAGGAAATAGATATTACTATAAAATTGTTCAACCCGTCCATACATTGGTATGGTACCAATGTTAGATAGCGGTTTGGACGTAGTTATAAAGTAAATAATAATAATAATTTATTTATTTCAGCCAAAAGTCTCATATGACAAAATTAATAGGAAAAAACTAGCTATATCTAAAAATACAATTCTCGTGTCACGGTGTGCGTAATTGAACTACTCCATAACGGCTCGACCGATTTTCGTGAAATTTAATATGCATATTGAATACGTCTGAGAATCGGACAACATCTGTTTTTCATTCCCCTAAATGTTAAGGGTGGTCCTCCACCCTTAAATTGTATATTTTGGGCAATTTTTTTTATTTTTATTTTTTTTATGATACATCATACAAAAATTCATACAACCCTAAATTTTCACCCTTCTACCACTAACCCCTATTTTTTATGGCGCCATGGCGGTACGAAGGCCGCTGGGACAGCTAGTATATTATAATAAAGTTATGAATAAAAGTTAATAAAAAGTAAAAGTATAGGTCGCGGCAAACTTCTTGATCAAAACCACAAGTTGTTCAAGAAGTTTGCCGGGATGTAGAACACGGTGCTACGTTCGCTACCGGTTTTAAAAAAATGGGATAATTAGCTCCTGTTTAAAAAAAAAATAAGTTGCTAAGAACAACAACACTGACTGACTAACTTTGATATCAAATTAAAAGTTTTTTTTTTATATAATGAGATAGGTAATTGTCTGTACCCCACCTGCCCCCTAGCATGATCACCGCGATATGATATATAACGCGTTTTGATCACGGTCAATTGTCAAATTTCTATAGGGTTTGACAGTTAGACGCGATATAATGAGATAGGCAATTGTCTGTACCTCATCTGCCCCCCTAGCATGATCACCGCGATATGATATATAACACGTTTTTATCACGGTCAACTGTCAAATTTCTATAGGGTTTGACAGTTAGACGCGATATAATGAGATAGGAAATTGTCTGTACCCCACCTGCCCCCTAGCATGACCACCGCGATATGATATATAACACGTTTTTATCACGGTCAATTGTCAAATTTCTATAGGGGTTTGACAGTTAGACGCGATAAAAAACGTGATATAATGAGATAGGCAATTGTCTGTACTCCACCTGCCCCCCTAGCATGATCACCGCGATATAATATATAACACGTTTTTATCACGGTCAATTGTCAAATTTCTATAGGGTTTGATAGTTAGATGCGATAAAAACGTGACATAATGAGATAGGCAATTGTCTATACTCCACCTGCCCCCCTAGCATGATCACCGCGTTATGACCTACGACACGCGCAGATGACTCGGCGCTTACCTACTATCCGTTTTGATTCCACACTATTTAAAAACATTACAATAAAATAGTCTTATATGCTATATTATAATTATTTATTCACTGATACACAATACCTTTGAATATTATTTCATAAAGCACAGGTAATTAATCAATAAAATAAATCTTCTGTTAGAGCAATTAAAAATCCTATAAAGTTAATATGACTGTCACGATTTTAAATCGGTAAAGACTGTCTGTTAGTGTAAGAACTTCTTTTTTATTGTTGATGTTAGTTGCCTCGTTTAATTAAAACTTGAGCAAACGGCGAAAAATTATACAGAGCAAATCGGTTTAACTTACGAGCTTAGTGAAGGAAATAACTCTTCGTGACTGATTTGCCCACGTCATGAAATTCCGAACACATTTAATCACAGTCACAGTCAGTCACACACACACACAATATGTTGTTTTGCGGCAAGCACGGTCGGGCGACGCGCCGCCCGCGCGCCCGCTGGCAATACAAGTGCAGCGCTGGCGCCGGTCGCGGCGTCTTTGATGATGTGAATCCGTTTTCGTTTATAGTGCGCGTTTTCCTTTCAGAGAAGAAAGAAACAGCACGATTCGCCAAAGTTTCGCTAAAGGTGCGAATACACTAAATCAGCAATAGCGATGTATTGAACAATCTGCTAGTTCTCCAACATTTTTATCAACAAATGAATGAATTGTTGTGGATACAACAACTTTATAATTTTGAAATGTTAAATGTTTATCATGTTGTTCGATTAAGGCACTTCGCGCACTAGACGACCGCGGCCACGATCAGTTGTGGACGTGGCCGCAACCTCGGTCGCAGAGGCGGTTGGGCTGCGGCTGCGGTCTGCGGCCACGACCACGACTGGTCGTGACGCTACCATATTGCTGGTCGTTTATTTCATTAATTAATAACTCTGTATCAAAACTTATTGTAGAAAAAAACATCGTCATATTCAGTCGAAGAACGGTATGAAACATGTTCATTCACGAACTGTCCGCATGACCTTGACACTGAGATTGACCGCATTCGCTGTCGCAAATCTAGTGCGGGCCAGTACGACTGGTCGTTGCGACTATCTTCCGTATAGCTGGCTATGAGCGCTCGCACTCTAGATCTGCGATCGCAAATGCGGCCTGGTCGCTTCAGCCATTCTCAGTGTCATGCTGATAGTTCGTGAAAGAGCACGCTTCGTATCGTTCCGCAACTCTATAGGACGAAGATATTTTTCTGCAATGAGCTTTGAAAGAGTTATTTATTAATGAAATAAAGAAACGACCAGTAATATGGTCGCTTTACGACCAGTCGTGGTCGTTGCCACAAACTTGTCCGCAGCCCAACCGTAGCTTCTGCGATCAAGGTTGTGGTGACGGTCACGACCACGGCTGGTCATGGTCGTGGCCTAGTGCACGACGTGCCTTAGTTAATCTGGTCCTCGCGGCTCCTGGTCGTGGTCATAATCGTCTAGTGCGCGAGGTGCCTTACTGAGGCAGTAACAAATATCAACGGCAGTTTTTTTGTAAATGTTTGACTATAGAAATACAAGGCTTTACTTTAGTCTTAGTCTTAGTAAGTAGTACGGCGCGGGCTATTTCGGCATGATTATGTGAAAGCACCTTAAAAAGTCCTGCCTTTTATGTACGCCGACGCTCGCCCGCCCACCTCCCCTCTTCCCCGCGCGCGGTGCTTTGCTTTGATTGCAATGCATGCAAAGGGCAGTCGCAAGTATATCAATCGCGCGTGCGCATATTTTGACTTAGTGACAAACACTGTGATAATTTCATTATGCCTCGGTATACGAACCAAGAATATTTAGAAATGGTGTACTGCTATCGCGAGTGTGACGAAGTGCTCAGTAAAGTAAAGTAAAAGGAACTAAAAAGACGCATAGAAGTTGCATTTTGTGCAGTGAGAAGTGACAGGGACACTTTAAAATAGGTAGAAAGACACGTCCGCAAACGTGCCTACCTTTGTTTGCAGCAAAATGGTGGTATAGTGCAACAATTTTCTTTTTTTGCTAGCGTAAATACTTTTTGATTCGAAACAACTAATTAGTGTACTACCAGTGTGATTGATTTGATAAAAAGTTCTAGTGAAAAAAATGAATATGTTCCTCGTTCCTCGTTGTACTTACTACATCGCCGGTCTCGTAAGTACTGTCTAATACCTAGTTATAAATTTCTTTCTGACCCAAGTATTAAACTGCAATAAGTATTTGTTTTTGTAACAAAATTATTATTAACTTTTTAGGTATTTTTCTCTGCTAATGAGAAGATAACACTTGTTCTTTATTTAAATTTTGTCATTGTAATATGACATCTAAGGCCCGTATGAATAGAACGATCTCAACTCTGAGAGCGATCTTGAGATGCTGTTTAGTATGAACACAGATAGGTACGCGCCGCGTCAGCTGTGCGCGCGCGGTCGTTCCCCCCGGCGTCGACCTCGCCTGGCCACATCAACTATTTTTCGTTTATTTTAATAGTGCTTATTTATTTGTTATATTTCACTTACTATGAATACGTGTTTAAAAATAATTATCACTCAAAAGGAGGAAAGGACATAAAAATGCAAAATAAAAAAAATAAAACACGAAAAAAATAATTTTAAAAAATCCGAAAAAAATCAGGTATACTCTATACATGTAACCCAACAATCTCACGAAGTTTCATAGAAACATTCAATTTCACCCTGTATAACACGTTTTTTCACGGTCAATTGTCAAATTTCTATAAGGTTTGACAGTTAGACGCGATAAAAAACGTGATATAATGGAAATTGTGGTGTTCATGTTACAGGGACTGGTGTTAAGTAGTGGTAAAGTCCAGAAGAAAGATAGCTAGAGGCATAAGTACAAACCTTCATATAATTGATTCAATTTCCTCTTGTAGAGTTTGGCGGCCCCATCGACCAGAACAGAGGAAGTCCTGAGGGATAACCTCATATGACTGTCTTCGTGGTAACTTGCGATCCAGGAATCCAGGTTACTACTAAAAGTAAAAATGTACAATTAAAAAATCATGAGACCCGACCGTTTAAATATTACTTCAAATTCTACTATAACAGTCGGGACCCATTATTGGACTCAAAACAAAGTCTATCAAGTATGGGACTCAAACCCGCACCCTCCACTACCAGGGCGGATGAAATGACCATTATGCTACCGCGGCCCTAAAGTCCGTGTCGAATTTTCTCTAGTGTTTCTGATGCTGCAAGGCAACGCCATCTCTTCTCTAGATTTAAAGATTTAGCAGTTAAATGCTTAAAATAAAAAAAATATACGTACGTAAATATAATTGTTATTTCTATTGACGCTATTACAAAATAAAAAGTATGTTTTTTGGCTATTTTTCCTCGACACTATACACAATAGCTGTATCACAAATTTTTAATTTTGTAAGATGCTACGGAACTCTTTATTATACTCTTTATTTGAGTGTCTTACTAGGGATATACAGGGTGGTCCAACTGGTAAGCATGCGGAGTTTTTAAACTTAACCAGAAGCTATGGAAACTCCTTTTTGTATTTTTAAATTGAAGTTGAATATTTGAGTAAATCCTACTAAAATCTAAAGTTCCAACTTTCAAGCCTTTTTTGAGTAACTAAGTAATTTCAAGAAGCTGAGTTATTTTTATTATTAAAACAACATTCAAAACAATTATGTCACAAAAAAAAGACAGCAAAATACCTACTACGAAAAAAGATATGAATTTTTGAAACCTCGCCGGCAGAAATCATTACAAAAACACAAAAAAAAAAAAAACTGGAAAACTAAGAAAATTCGCGGAACATACATGGAGTATTTTCGAATACACCCAGGTGCGAGGAATCTAAAAAAAATAAGTATTAGGAAGTATTTTGCCACTAAATTACTATTTATAACTGTATTAAATAAAAAAAAGTGGTGTGGTTTTATGTAATCAAGGTGCAAGTGGAACTTTTAAAATCATTAATTAAAAAAAGTCCTTCTTGGGCCGGGAACCGAACTCGGGCCGCCGCGCCTGGCTGCTTGTTGATTAGATCAATTTTTTATATTACATTTAAAATGTAATGTAAAATGTTAAAGTGGGAATGAAATTAAAGTTTCATAAAAAAAAAACGACGGCTTGCACTCCGAGAGTGCCGACAGAAGTAAAAACTTGTATATTAACGAAGTGCATTTTTGATATTTTCGAATGGTTAGGGAATAATTTTGCACGAATTGCTTTAATTACCAGTATAAAAGTACTATTTATATTACATTAAAAAGTTTATCTCTCAGAAAAATCAACTTACATGAATCACATTTCAGCGCACCTAGCGACATCTATTGTAAAAAAATGCAATCTTCGCAATAAAGCTGCCACCTGGACGTCCTAGATAGAGACTTATTATAATGCGATAAAATAAAATATTACGAGTACTATGTTTCGTCCAATATATTGAAAGTCAACAACCTTTCCAATTTTATTGTTTTCGTCTTACGAATTTTCGATTAGGTCACGTGTCCTGACGCGAATTTAACATTTTTTACGCATTACAAAAAAAGTGTACAACGCCGCTAAAGAAGTCTTCACTTAAAAAACAAATAAAAATATAGTCACAGTTTTATCGATAAACCACAATTGCGATTTTATTAGTCAAACTTCAATTTGAATTTCAAAAGGCAAATACATTAATACGGTTAACCATCTGAAGTGTCACCATTAAAAATTAACCTCACCAAATGATCGGCATACTGGTATCTTCATCAGAGCTATCTTCAATATCGTTGGCGACTCTCCAAACTTTACCTAGATGTCGACTATTCATCAGATTCTTATCGTAAAACATTGTCTTAGATCCCAACACTAAACTTTCGTTTCATGGAAAAGTTCGGAGTCTACTACTTATTAAAACATTTTAAACGTGAAAAATCTTAGTTGAAAATTTGAAATATTAACTTATCTCAAATAGCAGACAAAATGCAAGAGTACTTTTATACAAAATAATAATTTGACTAAGTGAAATTCCAGGATTAAATTCGATTTGACATGTAATGAAAACTAATTTTATATTTTACCCTGCTCTGAGATTTCTGTGGGTACCTCTCTCGTGTACCACACAATTTCCCTCGGAAAATTAATGACAATAATAGTTTTTAAATAATAATCTAGTGTAAGGAAACAGTGTCATTCAGCCAGGATTAAGAATGTTGTTTATTGAATTTATTTTGAAATCGAATGCAGGCTAGCACTGGCGAGTGCTTCAATAAAAAGAATATTTTGGTTAATTCACTAATTAATTATACATAATGAGGACATATGTCATAAAAATGACAAACATTTTGTTACAATTGTCAATTTTCCCCATCTTAGGTTCTTTCAAGACATGTTAATTTTGAAGTACCATGTCTTGTATGGCCCGCTGATATACAAACATTTTAGTAAGTATTAACTTTCTTTATTTTTTAAATATGAGGTTATCAAAATTGACATCCAGAGACATTCGCTCGGAAAATTTTACATGGAGTCGGATGTAAATATTAACTTTAATTGTTCTTTGTTAATAATAAGTAATTAAAATGATTATTACACAAATTTGATGAAGATTTTGATTGATCCACGTGTTCGACATAATCGTTCCTGGATCTTCGCGCTGCAAATGTATTAAAACTTATAATTTTTATTATTTTAAAGCATGTAACTGCTTGATGTTTAAATCTAAAGAAAATATAACTAGAAAAAAAAATCCACGCGGACCAGGCAGCAGACGGGACTTGAAAGGATTTTTTTCTAGTTATATTTTCTTTAGATTTAAACATCAAGCAGTTACATGCTTTAAAATAATAAAAATTATAACTATAATTGCTATTTCTTCTTTCAAATGTTTAATACTTGTAAAAGTATTCATTTGACATTGTGGGTTACCTATAATGCGAAGAGATGGCGCTGCCTTGCAGCTTAAGAATGGTTAGAAGAATTTCGACGCGGTCCGTGAGGGCCGCTGTAGCATAATTGGTCAGTGCATTCGCCCGGATTGCGAAGGGTGCGGGTTCAAGTCCCGTCTGCTGCCTGGTCCGCGTGGATTTTTTTCTAGTTATATTTTCTTTAGTATTAAAACTTGTTAATTTGGGACAAAGGCTATGACTATTCCATTGACATATATTTAAAACAAAATCTTTGTAGGTATTATTATCCATCTAAGAATTAGCAGTAATTTTTGTAAACATTGACCCCCCTCGAATATTTTTTAAAATATACCACTTATATTCCTCAAACAAAACTTTAACAATAGATACTACTTTTTCTATAATCTTTCTAGTTATCTTAGTTACTATTTTATCTTTGTTTATGTCTGTTCCATTGGTGGTTGCCAGATGGCCAGTGGCGACCATTTTTATTCAGAATCAGAATCAGAATCAGAATCAGAATCAGAATTTTATTTGTGAAACGTAGGTTAGTATACATGGTATATAAAATTTTTGTTAGTATCACTACATTTCCACCTTAATTAAGGTATACAAATAGATATGGTCAAAGTAGATTATAAATTAATTATAAATTTGATAAGCCATAAAGTTGTCATACTAATAGTCAAAAAAATAGAAAAATAAGCAAAATGTCCAAAATAGCATTAAATACACATTTCTGAATTGGCAATTTTAATATGTCTAAATTTTATAATAGAGAACTGCTTTTATAAAAGACATGTCCGATTTAATTACAAGATTTGTCATTTAAAAATTCCTCAACTGTATAGTAGGCTTTTTCAACTAATAATGCTAACAGACGCTTTTTAAAAGTCTTTATCGGTAGTGATTTAAGACAACTCGGAACCTTGTTGAATATTCTGTGAGCCATCCCAAAGAAGCTACTACTAACATGTACGGTTTTAAATGAAGGAGCGCAAATCCTATTCCAGTGACGATGATTTCTATCTGGGTTCCTTTCTGAGAATTGTTACATAACACAAAAACAGCTACTTCATAAATGTACAGCGAAGGCAGAGTCAGGATTTTCATGCTTATGAAAAATGGTTTGCAGCTATCCGTCGATTTGAGGCAATTTATCGCTCTTATACACCTTTTTTGATGTTTGAATAAAAGAGTTTTATTCACAGAATTTCCCCAGAAAATTATTCCATACCGTAAGATACACTCAACATAACCTCGGTATGCAGTCAAAACAGTGTCCCTATTAGATACCTTGGAGAGTTTGTATAGAGCGTAAATTGAACTACTCACTCTGTTACATAATTTCTCAGTGTGAGATTTCCAATTAACCTGATAATCCATTTGCAGACCTAAAAAATTCGTTTCAGTAACAGATTCAATTTCCTCACCATTGCACTTTAAAGCTACTGAGGGTATTTCAATCTTTTGTCTGAAGTGTATTACTTTTGTTTTTTTACTATTCAGGCACAAGTTATTTTGGACTATCCAATTGTTAAGTTTTTCCATAGCATTATTAATGTCATTTTCATAGTCTTGTTCATTATTACATTGAATCACAGCAGTACTGTCGTCAGCAAATAAAATCATGGGATGGTCAATAGAATTTGGAAAGTCATTTATAAATGCGTTAAAGAACAAAGGTCCTAATATACTACCTTGAGGCACACCAGCCTCTACATCTCTACATAGAGACATAAATTCCCTAATAATTTTGTTTTTTTTGCAGAATCTAGTTATAACAGTATATTGTTTCCTGTTACTCAAATACGAATCTATTAATTTAAGAGCTACGCCTCTTAACCCATAAGCATAGAGTTTGGCCAATAGTAACTTATGATCAACGTTGTCAAAAGCACAGGTCATGTCCATAAAAATGGCACAAACATGTTGTCTTTTGTCCACAGAGGTCTTTATTATATCAAGTAAACTATATATTGCCTTTTGAGTATTTCTATTTTTACGGAAACCAAACTGCTCATTTACTAACACATTATATTTTTCAAAGAAATTATATATCATATCATGTATTATTTTTTCAAATACTTTAGAGAATATTGGCAACTGAGCAATAGGCCTATAGTTTTTTATATCCGACTTATCTCCTTTTTTAAAGATCGGCTTAATAATTGAAGTTTTAAATACTTCAGGGAATATTCCACAGTTAATACTTAAATTAATTAGAAATGTTAAAGGAAGAGCCAAAGAGTCTAAATTTTCTTTAATTACTTTAGTGGGGATACCATCAATACCTACACTAGATGTATTCTTTAATGATCTTATGGTTTTTTTAACAGTTTCTGGTGTAATTTCAGGCAAGAATATTGAATTTTCAAGTTTTGTAGGTATTTTGTACGTAGAATTACATTTTTTTTGTTTTAGTGTAGAGTCTACGAAATGGTTGTTAAACATATTGGCCACATGCAAAGGATCAGAGATTCGCATTCTATCTCTAAGTAAATGTTGGATCGTTTCCTGAGGATACTGATTTTTATTCTTATTTATTATTTGCCAGGTCGCTTTTGACTTATTAATAGCTGCTTTTATGAAGTGATCGTTTTGTGCCCTCTTTGTTAAATTAATAATTTTTTTGTACCGCTGGCAATAGTTCTTGAGAATCAGTTTATTTGCTTCAGTTGGACAACACCTATATCTCCACAGCAATTCTCGCTTCTTTTTGCTACAAGTCCTAACACCTCTAGATACCCATTTTACTTTTTTCTTACTTTTTATTAATATTTGCTTATAGGGAAAACATAAGTTATGAAATAATTTGACAGTCTCAATAAAAATATTACAGGCAACATTTACATCGTCTGATGTATAGACTTCACTAAAACTTAATGCTTGCATAGCCTCCTGAAATTTAATCATATTTTCTACAGAATAATCACGTTTTCTTATGCGCCAATAATTAATCGGACATGTCCTCTTCACAGGACAATTTAATAACTGCGCAGTGTGATCTGACAAGGCTAGCTCAACTACTTCGCTCTTACAACCTCTATAATTTACGGCAAAATTATCAAGACATGTTTGACTACTGAGCCTTGTGGGTTGTCTGATTTGTAACTTAAAATTATAGCTTAAAAGTAAATTCTCAAAATAGTCAGTCAATTTGGTCCTTTTTAAAATATTTACATTAAAATCACCACAAATTATACATTTAAAATCATTATTATTTTTAGTCAATTTATTTAAAAGTAATTCAAATTTATTAAGAAATAATTCTATGTCAGTATTTGGTGGTCTATATATACAAACTATAATCAGGTGTTCAAGCGTCAACTTCAATGCACAACATTCAAATACAGATTTAATACAAAATTTCGAGACATCAAGAATTTCATACTCAAAGCCTTGCCGAACCAATATACACGAACCACCTCTACGAGTGTCTCTGAAATAACTTGTGGCCAGAATATAGTTATTTAGATGAAAATTACAATTATCTACTTCTTTCATGAAGTGTTCCGTGATGCATATAATGTCAGTGTCCTTATTTTCTAAACATAAATCACAAATGGCGACAGTCAGTAAATCCAATATTACATGAAAGCAACATGAAAGTAATAAAACAGCCATGCATCCTGTTACGGGTGGCGCACAGTCACATCTACTAATTTATTGCAGGCAATATCTCTTAATGCCGCACTCAGAAACGGTGATTAATTTTAAATAGAGTCAGAGATGCGGTCAGAGTTTTTATGACAATGGTGTCGATTCTAACATGATTCTCTAAAGCTAAACTTAAATTTGGCAACAGTGCATCTTTGTCATTTTCCATACAGAATGAAAGGGAAAGAATGGTGTTAAATTTAGTTTTAAGTTTAGGGAATCACGCCAGAATCGACACCAGTGGTATCGATTCTGGCACGAT